TCCAGTCAAAAATGTGCATGTAACTTTTTTGCAATACTTGTGCCTACCACAGTGGGGTAGCTATGAAATTAATACAGCAGTGCAGTATGTACTACAGTTAATTTTATGCAGCTATGATTTAATACTGCATCTTTGTGTTTGTTTACAGTTCTCTAGACTGTGAATGTTCATATGTTTTGATAAATTTTTAATATTTTTATGATATATTTGTATATATTTGATGGTAACATATTTTATGCATTCATGACATACCTAACTTTTTCTTAGTTTTTTATATTTCTAGGCTATGCAGTTCAACTGTGAAGTTTTTCAAACTATTGCATGTCTTAAAAATTTTTTCCAACATATTTATTGAAAACAGTCTGCATGTCGGTGGACCCATGCAGTTCAAAGGTCAACTGTATTGATATTTTCTTTGTTTTTGCAAGAGATTGCTAGCCTTCTTTTAAGAGGCCACAAGTGAGTCAGGCAGTTTGGAATAGTGTTACTTCATCCCAGATGTGTTAGACTGGCTTAACTCTGTGATGGTACCTACTTATGGTTTCTGAGATTGTGCAAGCACTTAGAAGATTATTTTATTTAAGAATAAAGTTAAGTTTTTATCAATTACTGTTTTAAAAAGTTTGGGGTTTGGCAAATCCAGGCTGTTGGCAATCAAAGTGACCACTTTTTAGGAAAATTTACCTTGTAGAGTGAATGAGAAACCTGAGCTCAATTTTTTTGTGTAGAAATATGCTTAGGAAAAATGTGAATTATATTGTTCCCATTTAATAGCTTGCTCTGTTCAAAGAGCAGTCCAGCTGGTATGTAGAGTAAGAGATTAACAAAGTCAATGATATCCCATTTTATATTTATACTAGAGGCCCAGTGCACAAATTCGTGCACCAGTGGGGTCCCTCGGCCTGGCCTGCGGGATTGGGCAAAAACTGGGTCTCTGACATCCCCAGAGGGGTCCTGGATTGCGAGAGGGCACAGGCCAGGCTGAGGGACCCCACTGGTGCACGATTGGGGCCGGGGAAAGACGCAGGAGGTTGGCCAGCTGTGGGGAGGGACCGCAAGAGGGCTCCAGGGCATGTCCAGCCTTCTCGCTCAGTCCTGATCAGCCAAACCCCAGCAGCAAGTTAACCTACCGGTCGGAGCTTTTGCCCCCTGGTGGTCAGTGCACGTCATAGCGAGTGGTTGAGCAGCCTTAGCATATCATTAGCATATTACGCTTTGATTGGTTGAATGGACGACTGGACACGTAGCATATTAGGCTTTTATTATATAGGATGACAGACTCAGTAGACATTTTAACTAAAGAAAGTCTGATAAAGAAAGAACAGGTTGATATGGAATATGCATGATTGCTTCTTGCAAAGTCAGCGATGCAGCTCCCTCTTGTTAATTGTGGTTGAAAAGTACATTGCTGGAGATATTATAAAAAAAAAAAATATTTTCAGGTTTTCTTTAAATAGAAAGAAAACTTCAATTAATTTATATTTCTTAGCTGCTTATTTCTTCACGTAGTGATTCATTCCTGTGACCTTGTGATCTTTAAACTTGTAATGGAAAGCTGAAAATAGGATGTAATAGGAAAAAAGGAGGGTTATGGTGAGAGATGAGAGAAGAGTTTTTGAAGAAGAGAGGAGTATATAGGACACTGGTGGCACTGCTGCTTTCCTCACCGGAGATACTGACATGCTCCAGGACCTCTGACCCTAGCCAGTTCTTCGGAGAAACACTATCAAGGCTTTTTTCCCATAAAAATCAGGAATGAAGGAAATATCACATTTCTCCGAGTTCTTTAAAGCAACTTTATTTTGACTTTGATGCCTCATCCTGCTTGAGTGCTGTCAAATTTATCTCAGGCACCCGCAATTTGCCTCTTAGCCTCTGTTATCCTGGGATCTTAAACAGAGCAAAGCATGGAGGAAGTTCTCCTATCCTCAGTTATCAGTCCTGTCATCAAGTGGATTTCTCTCATAGAGGTTCTACTATACTTTGTCTGTGCCTTGTCTCTGCCACCCCTGGGGTAGCAGTCTCCTTGCTGTCATTAAGTGAGTTCCCTCCTTCCCCATTGTGATAATCTCTCCCTTCTCTTGGTCTCTCTCATTTGTGGCTTCCCAGAGGCCTCTTCTCCTGCTGCCCCGTTCCCAAGATATCCAGCCTAAGTAAGCCCTAAGAAGGTCTGTGCTTCTATCCAAACTCAGAAGGCCCACAGATTCCAGACTGGTTTTGCTTTCTGTGCTGCCAGAATTCCTAACATAAAAGATAGTTATTACTTTCATTGATTGGGGGTAGGGGGGAGAGAATAAATATAATTTGATATTTCAATACATTATTCTGCCCAAATAATATTAACTATTTTGATTAAGATTGAGGTACTGAAAATAAATTTTCTCCTGTTCAAAACCGATTTTTTTATCTTTATTTATTATTTTTACTATCCGAGTTTACAATTTTTATATTATGAATAATTTAAAACAAAAAATACCAAAAAGTACAATAGCAATTTTAACTGATGTCCATATACTTAAGCTCAGATGGAACAGATGTTAAAATTTTGCCGTAATTGCTAAAAATCTGTCTTTTTAATAAAAGTAATAGATCTAGCTCTAACCCAAGCTGCACTCCTGGCCTCCCTCTCCATAGACAACCAGAGAGGACCCAAATAAATGAAATCAGATATCAAAGAGAGAATTGACAAGTGACACTATAGAAATACCAACAATTCTAAGAAAATACTTTGATCCCAGGCCCTGGTCAGGGCACATGCCGATGGAAGCCAATCAACATGTCTCTCTCACATCAATGTTTCCCTCTCTCACTCTGTCTCTTGTCCTCCTTTCCACTCTCTCTAAAAATCAATAGAAAAACATCTGCAGGTGAAGATTAAAAAACAAAATTCCACCTTGAGATATTTATCTTACAGAAATAAACATGGATATGTACAATTATTTACCTATTAGCATTTTCATTGCAACATTGTTTGCAATATTGGAAGCAATGAAATACCCTGAAGCAAGAGATTTACCAAATATGTTATGATATAGTAATATGTGACCATTAAATATCCTATATAATAAAAGAGAAGCATGTAAATTGACCATCCCTCCACTACGCTCACCAGCCAATCAGGAGTGAGTATGCAAATTAACCCGACAAAGCTGGCAGGTTAATTTGCATACACAGGCGCCAGGCGGAGAGCAGAGCAGTAGAGCCGGCAGCTTGGGGGGACGTGGCTCCCTTGGTCGCTCCCCCGAAGCTGCGGGGTGGAGAGCAGAGTGGGAGAGCTGGTGGAGAGTGGAGCGGCTTGGGGAACTTGGCTCCCTAAGCCACCAGACGGAGAGCAGAGAGGGAGAGCTGGTGGCTTGGAGGACTTGGCAGAGTGGGAGGCCATGGGACGGAGATAGAGCAGGAAGGGAAAACCAAGAGCGTGGGGAGCATGAGGAATTCTGGGGACAGTAGTTCTGGTGGCAGCCCCAGGACCGGAAGCGGAAGCCCAGAGCACAGGGAGCACCAGGAATGCTGGGAATTGTAGTTCTGGTGGCAGACGGATCTCCTAGACCAGTGGTTCTTAACCTTGGCTGCATATTAGAATCACCTGGGAATCTTTTTAAAATCTTAATTTCTGGGCCTCATCCTCCGGAAATTCAGTTTCTTTGTTACTAATGTTGTGGCCTCACCCCATAACAAAGAAACAGAATTTCCAGAGGATGAGGCCCAGAAATCAGGATTTCAAAAAGATTCCCAGGTGATTCTAATGTGCAGCCAAGGTTGAGAACCACTGTCCTAGACACTAGCAAAGCGAGCCTGGAGCAAGTTACTGTTGCAGTGGGGGATGGAGGGAAAGCAAAGGTGAGAGACATAAGTAAAATCAGAGTGTCTAGGAAAAATTAAAGGGAAGATATCCTAAAACTTCCAGGAAATCTCCACCAATGAAGCAAAGAAAAAAAAATGCCTCTATTATTCTGTGAGCAACAAACAAAACTGGGTTGGGGGTCTCAGACAATTCGCTCATATGATTGCAAAGACAGAAACTCCCGGATTGGAGATGGCTCCCCTGAGGGCTCCCAGATTGGAGAGGGTGCAGGTCGGGCTGAGGGACCCCCACACCCCCCAGTGCATGAATGTCGTGCACTGGGCCTCTAGTTGTATTGATAAATAACATGGAAACATACAACATACAACATTGATAAATAATATGGAAACATATTCATGCAAAAATATAATATACTAACATTTTTCACCCCTTAAAAAGGTATTCATGTACTTGAAAGTACAACAGATAGATATAGATAATAAAGTGATACCAGTTGATGTTTCTGGATAGTGGGATTATGGGTAATTTTAATTATGTTTTGGAAAGCAGCTGTGCTCACTACCACCAAAGCTATTTTCTGTTTGGGTCATATGTTACCAATTACTTTCTACAATGACTACCACCTGTTTGTTTTTGTTACAACTCAGTTTTACTGGATTTTCCCCCTTTAGTTTGTATCACTTGCTCAGAGTAAGAAAGGACCCCCATATCTGGGAAAGACATCTCCCCTAGGGAAGGGAGAGTTGGTGGCAGTGGCCGCATTTTGTAAAGCTGACCATGAAAGCCACAGCTCCATCTCCAGATGTGCAGACTCCTCTTACTGTAAAATTCTATTTGTGGACACGGCTCATGTATTAAAATTTTACTTTCTGATCTCTTTCTTTATGTTTACAAATGTTACACTTCTCTCAAACTTGAAGTGCATATTTTACTGAAATAGTGGGGTAAAATGTAAATGAAAATGATGCGGGCTATTAAGAACTAGCACAGGGTGTGAAAAACAGGTATTTGTTACCCTGGGATCTATTTCTATTTCTTCCTTGTCAGCCAAACCTCTCACGTGATTCCTTTTACGTATTTTACTGCCTGTGGACTCTGTATTGCTTAGATAAATGTTTGTAAAAGGCTCTTTTTATAACATTGCTTTTTTATTTTTTATTTTCTTTCTTTTTTTTTTTTTTTTTTTTTTTTTTAGGTATAAAGACCTGAGGGAAGTCTTTCCTGTCAAGATGGAAAATAGTACCACTACCATTTCTCGGGAGGAGCTGGAGGAACTACAAGAAGCATTTAATAAAATAGGTATGCTTGAGAAAAACTCCATGTGATGTTATTCTTCTGCTTGGTATCAGACTTCCAAGAATTGAACAATACCTTTTATTGCTTCTACCACCACCCATTTACCCGGAGATGTATTCCTTTTTTTTCTTTTCATCTAGGTTTCACTGGATTCTTCCTTTCTTTCTGAAAGATAAACTGAAACTAGGCTTGAATTTCTAGGACAATTGTACTTTCAATTCTTTGATCATTTCTTTGCAGAGAATAATCCAGGTTAATGAATGACAGTGTAATTGAATATGCTTAACATGATATCCTCATTACAAAGAAAAAATAGAGAAATACTTCCTTGTCTATAAACTGAACTTTGGCCTTTATGTGTTTTTCATTAACAATAACACTTTTTTACTTCATTTAGAATATTTAAAAATCTTAATATTCTTTTTAAAGGCCATAGGGCCTATTTTCCTGCTCCCTTATGCATAATTTAAAAATCTTAGTGTCATTTTTAAAGGTCATTGTGTCTTATTTTTCTTCTTTCACTTTTTAAAGCCATTCAATGTTTTGTCTTTATGATATTATCATTTGAACAGCTTTGTATTTTTCTCCCCCCCAAATTTACTCATACTCTGTTTGATTGCGTTTCTTCTGCATTTTGCTCTTAGAAACCTGTGACAAACCAGGAGAATATAAATACCATATTTGGCTGACAAAATAAGATTTAAGATTAAAATGTAAAGCTCTTCAAAAATAAACAGTAAAGTTCTCAGGAAGCTTATGACTTACAAATCATTGCTATGAATTCTACAAATCTCTGAACCCCTCCTCTTCTTCATGTATAGGTGGCTCCAGGATGACTCAAACCTTCAGAATACAGTCTGCACAGTGGCTGAATTAGGCTCATGGTGCATGCCTTAATCTTGGTCTTGTCTTTATTTTGGGCACCATATATTTGTCATTAGGGCATTGTATGAAGATGGTATGATTTCTATAACATCACTGTTAAAAATAACTTTTATAGGGTTTTGTAAGCAGTGCCTAGTCTTTTCAAGACAGAAATTAGGCAATTATTGGGATATTCTGCTTATTTTGAACATTGAAATAGAGGAAGTAATAAAAATGTATCGCTTGCCCGGACATTGTGCCTCAGTGGTTGAGCGTCAACCTATGAACCAGGAGGTCAACATTCGATTCCCAGTCAGGGCACATGCCTGGGTAATTGAATATGCTTAATATGATATCCTCATTACAGAGAAAAAATAGAGAAACACTTCCTTGTCTATAAACTGAACTCTGGCCTTTATGTGTTTGTCATTAACAATAACACTTTTTGACTGGGAGGTCTTTCCCAGATATGGGGGTCCTTTCTTACCCCACGGTCTCTGGTAGGGGGTGTGCAGGAGACAGCTGATAAATGATTCTTTCTCATCATTGATGTTTCTCTCTCTCTCTCCCTTTCTCTCATATATATATATAAAAATATATATATTTAAAATGTATCTGTTTAGTTTGACATTTCTGTTATTTTATAGGTGCAGTTTGGTAGCTTGCATAAAAGTGCTACCTAGGTCTTAGTAAAATAAATGAATTAGTAATCAGTTTTCTTTGTTTAGCATGCCCACTTTAACCTTTATGACTCATGGACATACAATCCTGTAGTACTTATTTAATGATATTTTGAATAAATAATTCATTGATGGAACAGTTCTGACAGCAAGATAACTTGCTGTGTGAGAGAAGTGCTAACAGCAGCTGAGCATGTACTTGTTACTTCATTTACAAGGTAAATGGCTACTCATAAACTCAGTGATCCCTCTGCTTATTTGTTGTACCAACAAACTTTTCTGAGAGGTCATACAACCTAACTAGATGGGATATTTTGGGTTCTCTAGGGAGAAGTGAGAGATTAAAATATTTGTCTTATTTTTTAATTGTGGTAAGATAGACATAAAATTTATCATTTAGTGTACAGTTCAGTGGCATTAAGTACATTCACATTGTTATGCAGTCATCACCACCATCGATCTCTAGAATGTTTTCATCTTCCCATACTATCATTATACCCATTATATACTAACTCCCAGCCCCACCAGGTCTACTGCCATTCTACTGTCTGCCTCTATGAATCTGGCTACTCTATAATAACCTAATATAAGTGCAGTCATAAAATATTTGTGTGTTTTTTGTGACTGGCTTACTTCACTTAGCATATGTCTTTCTTCAAGGTTCATTTATGTCATATCATGTGTCAGAATTTCCTTAATGTTTTTCTTTGAGTGAGAGAGAGAGAAAGAGATACACCTCTTTGTTCCACTTATTTCTTCTTCATTGGTTGATTCTTGTATGTGCCCTGGCCAGGCATGAAAATCTGTAACCTTGGTGTATGGGGACGATACTCTGACGAAGTATGCTACCCCGCCAGGGCTGAATTTCCTTACTTTTCAAGACTGAATAATATTCCATTGTATGTCTATACAATATGTTGTTTATCTGTTCATCAGTTGATGGCCACTTGAGATGTTTCTACCTTTTGGCTATTGCTACTCATGTTGCTATGAACATGGGTGTGCAAATATCTGTTCAAGTCTCTGTTTTCAGTATACTGAAAAATGGTATTAAATTGTATAGTTAAACATGGTATTACTGAATCATATGCTAATTTTATGTTGAGTTTTTTAAGGAACCACCATACTGCTTTACATGGTAGCTGCACTCTTTCATATTTCCACCAGCCATGCACAAGGGTTCCAGTTTCTTCAAATCCTTGCCAACACTGTTATTTTCTGTTCTGTTTTGTTTTTAATAGTCATACTCATGAGTGTGTAGGGGTATCTCATGGTAAGTTTGATTTGCATTTCCATAATAATTAGTCATGCTGAGCATCTTTTCATGTGTTTATTGGCCATTTGTGTATCTTCTTTGGAGAAATGTCTAAGTTCTTTGCCCATATTTTTAATTTCAAGTTTTTTAAAATTACAGTTTACATTCATTATTATTTTGTATTAGTTTCAGGTATACAACATAGTGGTTAGACAATCATATACTTTACAAAGTGTTCCTCTGGATATTTCCAGTGCCCACCTAACATCACACATAGCTATTACAATATTATTGACAATATTCCCTGTGCTGTACTTGATTGTTTAAAAAATCTTTATTGTTGAGAGTATTACAGATGTCCCCCTTTTTCCACCCCTTACCCACCCCATCCCAGACCTTCACCACCCTATTGTCTTTGTCCATAGGTAATGCATATCCTATATAATCCTATATAATAAAAGGCTAATATCCAAATCAACCAAACGGCAGAATGACAGTTGCTATGATGCACACTGACCACCAGGGGCCAGACGCTCAATGCAGGAGCTGCCCCCTGGTAGTCAGTGCGCTCCTACAGGCGGAGCACCTGAAGCCGGGCTCACGGCTGGTGAGCCCAGTGGTGGTGGTGGGAGCCTCTCCTGCCTCCATGGCCTTGCTAAGGATGTCCGACTAACGGCTTAGGCCCACTCCCCGGGGGCAGGGGGGAGTGGGCCTAAGCCATTAGTCAGACATTCTCTGAGGGCTCCCAGACTGCCAGAGGGTGCAGCCCAGGCTGAGGGATCCACCCCCAACCCCCTGCCCCGGTGCATGAATTTCGTGCACCAGGCCTCTAGTATGCATATAAGATCTTTGGTTAATCCCTTAGTTAATGTCTGCCCCTCCCAACCCCTTCCCTCTGAGATTCATCAGTCTGTTCCATTTTCCATGCCTCTGATTCTATTTTATTCACCAGTTTATTTTGTTCATTAGATTACTTGTTTGTTTCTTTTGATTTCTAGATGCAATTATTGATAGATATGCATTTATTGCCATTTTATTGTTCATATTTTTTTTTATCTTTTTCTTTATCTTCTTCTTCTTTCTCTTCTTAAAGAATACCCTTCAACATTTCATGCAATACTGGTTTGGTGGTGATGAGCTCCTTTAGCTTTTTCTTGTCTGTGAAGCTCTTTATCTGACCTTCAATTCTAAATGATACTTTTGCTGGAAAGAGTAATCTTGGTTGTATTCCTTGATATTCATCACTTTGAATATTTCTTGCCACTCCCTTCTGGTCTACAAAGTTTCTGGTGAGGAATCAACTGGAAGTCGTATTGGTGCTCTCTTGTAGGTAACTAACTGCTTTACTTTTGCTGCTTTTAAGATTCTCTCTATGTGTTTTGCCCTTGGCATTTTAATTATGATGTGTCTTAGTGTGGGCCCCTTTGGGTTCCTCTTGTTTGGGAGTCTCTGCACTTCCTGGACTTGTAAGTCTATTTCTTTCACCAGGTAGGGTAAGTTTTTTGTCATTATTTCTTCAAATAGGTTTTCAATACCTTGCTCTCTCTCTTCTCCTTCTGGCACCCCTTTAATGCAAATGTTGGTACCCTTGAAGTTGTCCCAGAGGCTCCTTATACTATCTTCATATTTTTGGATTAGGTGTTTTTTGTTTCCTCATATTCCAAATCATTGATATAATTCTCGGAATCCTTTACTCTATTGTTGAATTCCTGTAAATTATTCATTATTTCAGTTAGTGTATGCTTAATTTCTGACTAGTCTTTTTTCATGTTTTTGACATTCTCACTAAGATCCTTGAAAGTCTTACTAAGTCCATTGAAGCTCTCATTAAGTCCCTTGAATCCCTCATTAAGATTCTTGAGCAACCTTATAATCATTGTTTTGAACTCTGTATCCAGTAATTGGCTTGCTTCCATTTCTTTCATTTGTGACATGTTTCTTTGTCTACACATTTTGGCTGCTTCCTTGTGTTTGTTTCTATGTATTAGGTAGACTTCTATGTCTCCTGGAATTGGTAGTGGCCTTGTGTTGTAGGTGTCCTACATGGCCCAGTAGCTCAGCCTGCCCAGTCACCTGAGCTGGGCACTCTAGGTGAGCCCCTTTGTGGGCTGTGTGCACAGTCTTGTAGTATTTGAGCTTTGATTGCTGTTGGCGTTACTGGGAGGAATTGACCTCCAGGCAAATTGGCTGTGAGGACCAGTTGTGACTATTCTATGGAGCAGAACTTGTTGCAGTGGGGCTTTGGTGCTCACTGTTTGCCCTTTGATTGTGTAACTTGTGGATGTGTGGAGTAGTAATATGATATGGTCTGAAGCTGTCCACAAGGTGCACTGGCTCTGGGGCCTCCTGGGAGGTACAAAGTCAGCCACTGCCTAAGGCCATGCAGCAGGAGCTACAGAGAGTCTGCAGATGGCTGCTACTTTTATTGGGCTTGGAAGTGCCCAGGAAAGGCCCAGCTGTGAAGCAAGGCAGGCTGGTGCTAGTGCTAGGTCTTGAGCCTTTTATTGATAGGTATGGCACATGTTGACACCAGCTGCTGCTTGTTTGTGAGATTTTAGGAAAGTCTGAAGCCTGAGCCAAGATATGGCCATTCATATGGAAAAGCTGCTGCAAACAGCTTGGGTGGGCTGCAAATTGTATTGGCCAGGATCCCAAATAGTCACCAGGGAAGAGTGAACAGTGTGGGCCATGCTGATGGAAACTCAGATATGGCTGCCAGTCAGCTCTGCGAGTGGGGAGGCCCTAGCACAGGAACAGTGACCCCTGAGAGCACCCCTATCTGGGAGAAACCCCTCCTGAGTTCTTGCCCTGATGCCAGATAATCCAGTTCCTTCCTGAATGTCCCAGGTTCCTTTTAAGTGGGCACCCCAATGTTGGAGCCTAGAGGGATTGAGTCCGAGTAAGTCTGTGTACTGGACTTTAAGAGTGAGTGCCTGGATCTCCAGCAGCCTCCGTGTCACTCAGCCATAATCCCCACTTGTTTTTACAGCCTGAAGTTACAGGGGCTTCTCTTACCAGCTCTGGACCCTGTGCTGAGGAGTCTGGTGTGGGGCTGGGACCTCTTGCTCCTCATAAGTGGCCTCCACAGCAGAGATATCCCTCCTGATTAAAAAAAACAAACACGCCACAAGCCTGTTGATGCTTCTGCTCCTCCTACCAGTCTCAATGTGCTTTCTTCTTTACTTCTCTAGTTGTAGGATTTCCATTCAGCCAAATTTCAGGAGGTTTTGACTCATGATTGTTCTGTATTTTAGTTGGAATTTTGATGTGGTTGTGGGGACAGCAAATACCCACCTTAACCTACACTGCCATCTTGGTTTTCTTCTCCCTATGCTGTACTTAACATCCCCATGTCTTTGCCCATTTTTAAATCAGGTCAGTTGTTTTTTGTTGTTGAGTTGTAGGAAAGTCCTATTTCTTTTGAAAATGTGATATTTATGGTTATTTAATCTAAACCTTGATATCCTCATTTTAAAATTTAGAATAGTAATATTAATTAACTCAAGGTTGTAAGGATTTCATGAGATAAAGTAAGTCAAGTTCTTAACAGATATTGGCACAGAATAGGTGCTTATAAAAAGGTATCTGTTATTTCTTGTCACATCACACCCAAACCACAGAGGTCATGGGGATGGAACTGGGATTTAAAGCACACACATCTTTCTGTCTTTAGAGCCCTAACCTTTATCTATTCTTACTAGTTTAGCATGATGGTTAGCAGGTAAATAACTTTTTCTCAGTCATATATATATCTATGCTAATAAAAGGGTAATATGCTAATTAGACCAGATTGACCGATGCCTTCCGGATGTCTGATGTCCTTCCGGACAAAGCCACGGTGGCAGGGGCTGAGGCAGAAGTGGTTAGGGGCGATCAGGCCAGCAGGGGAGAGAAGTTAGGGGTGATTAGGTTGGCAGGGGAGTAAGCAGTTAGGGGCGAGATCAGGCCGGTGTGGGGGAGCAAGCAGTTAGGGGCGAGATCAGGCAGGCAGGCAAGGGTGCAGTTAGGGGCGTTCACGCTGGCAGGCAGAGGCAGTTAGGGGTGATCAGGCCAGCAGGGGAGCAGTTAGGGGCATCAGGCCAGCAGGCAGAGATGGTTAGGGGTGATCAGGCAGGCAGGCAGATGAGCGGTTAGGAGCCAGCAGTTCTGGATTGTGAGAGAGATGTCCGACTGCCGGTTTAAGCCCGAACCCTGTGGCAGTTGGACATCCCCGAGAAGTTTTGGATTGGAGAGAGTACAGGCCAGGCTGAGGGACCCCCCGCCCCCGTGCATATATATAATAAATTTTATATGTGTGTGTATATATATATATAATAAAAGCTAATATGCAAATCGACCAAATGGCAGAACGACCGGTCGCTAAGACGCACACTGACCACCAGGGAGTAGACGCTCAATGCAGGAGCTGCCCCCTGGTGGTCAGTGCCCTCCCACAGGGGGGAGGGAGCACTGCTCAGCCAGAAGCGGGGCTCAGGGCTGGCAAACATAGCAGCAGTGGCGGGAGGGCACAGGCCAGGCTGAGGGACACCCCCACCCCCCTGTGCATGAATGTCTTGCACCCGGCCTCTAGTATATATATATTCTCACCCAAGGATATGTTTATTGATTTTGAGAAACAGAGACAGAGAGAGACAGTTGGGCCTCCTGTATGTGCCCTGACTGAGGATTGAACCTGCAACCTAGGTATGTGCCCTGACTGGGAATCGAACCCACAGTCTTTTGGTGTATGGGTCGACACTCCAGCCAACTGAGCCACCCAGACAGAGCTCTTTTTTATTTTATAGTACTCCCTACCACAGTACAGAAGTAAGCCAGCCTAGTTTATTTTTCCATTGCAGAATTATAGGAAACAATTCTGAAATGATGATATATTAAATAATTAGTATATGGTGATATCCTATATAATCCTATATAATAAAAGAGAAACATGTAAATTGACCATCCCCCCGCTACGCGCACCAGCCAATCAGGAGTGAGTATCCAAATTAACCTGACAAAGATGACGGGTTAATTTGCATACACAGGTGCCGGGCAGAGAGCAGAGTGGGAGAGCTGGCAGCTTGGGGGGACGTGGCTCCCTCGGTTGCTCCCCCAAGCTGCTGGGCAGAGAGCAGATCAGGAGAGCCGGAGGCTTGGGGGGATGTGGCTCCCTCGGTCTCTCCCAGCAACCGAGGGAGCCACGCTCCCCAAGTTGCTGGGCGGATAGCAGAGTGGTGTGGAGCGGCTTGGGGAACATGGCTCCCCAAGCCGCCAGACGGAGAGCAGAGAGGGAGAGCTGGCAGCTTGAAGGACTTGGCAGAGTGGGAGGCAGTGGGATGGAGACAGAGCAGGAAGGGAAAACCAAGAGTATGGGGAGCACCAGGAATGCTGGGAATCATAGTTCTGGTGGCAGACGGATCTCCTAGACACTAGAGCAAAGTGAGCCTGGAGCAAGTTACTGTTGCGGTGGGGGATAGAGGGAAAGCAAAGGTGAGAGACATAAGTAAAATCAGTGTCTAGGAAAAATTAAAGGGAAGATTTCCTAAAACTTCCAGGAAGCAAAGAAAAAAAAAGCCTCTATTCTGTGAGCAACAAACCAAACTTGGTTGGGGGTCTCAGACAATTCACTGCTATGATTGCAAGACAGACAGAAACTCCTGGATTGGAGAGGGCTCCCCTGAGCCCTCTGGGGGCTCCCAGATTGGAGAGGATGCAGGTCGGGCTGAGGTGAATCTTCGTGCACTGGGCTTCTAGTAGTAAATAATTAATTTCTATCTGAATTCAAAGAAAGCAGTATTAATTATTACAATAGTGAGCAATTTAGCTTGTTAACTGACTTCTGAGATACAGTAATGTTTTTGTTATTGGTAGGTTCAAGTTTAGAAATTTTTCATTGTTCTGAAGAGTATTAATTCTGGAAACTCATGCATGAGACTTTAAAAGTTTCTGTCTTTATAATTAATTCAGTTATAGTGAGGGCAGCTCTTTTACTGAGAGGAAAAAAAAAATATATGAACCAAAGCAACCATTACCAAATGTGCTACGATAGCCTATACAAGGTACTGGTATATCCAGGCAACTAACCAAACACTCCAGAGCTCTGTTGCCAACCCTTGGCAGAAGTGTTTTATGTCACTTTTGTTCTGTGTCAACAAGTGACATGCAGTCTCTAGGGAAAACCCAGGGGAGAGCATTTCAGTGATGATATGAAAATGACAGGGAACCTATTTCCAAAAGTCCAAATAGGTGTGAAATAATTTCTTGAACACTTAAACTCAAAATAATATCCAACATGATTCAGCCTACATCATGGTATCAGCAATACATTACGAAGAAGCAGTGAATTATTAACAATGAAACAGAACCCTACCAAGAGAAATGTAGGCCAGGAATGCCTTATGTATATTTTACACATACATAGTTTATATGAAGTGTGGGTCCAGCAGACCCCTTCTGTAATTCCGTAAAGAAGTTAAAGTCTGGTGGGTGTTCCCTTGTGACCATTGATGCTGTATTTTTTCTAGATATCTGAGACTTCCAAATACTTAGTTCTTTGAAGCTTAGTCATGTGCTACACCTGAGTTTTCATCTATCAGGGCAGTATCTGTATTATGCACTTAAAATATGTATGGTAGTCCTAAACCTATGGGGGAAAAGTGCATTTGAATATGAATTTTTAAAAAAATATATATTTTATTGATTTTTTACAGAGAGGAAGGGAGAGGGATAGAGAATGAGAAACATCGATGAGAGAGAAACATCGATCAGCTGCCTCCTGCACACCCGCTACTGGGGATGTGCCCGCAACCAAGGTACATGCCCTTGACCGGAATCGAACCTGGGACCTTTCAGTCTGCAGGCCAACGCTCTATCTACTGAGCCAAACTGGTTACAGCTGAATATGAGTTTTTTACATTGCACAGTTCAGGTGCAGGAGAAAATATTACTGCCACTAGCAAAACAAACCTAAAAGGTTCTGCTTGCCTGTGAATCTCCCAAACAGCCATCTGAATGCACCTCTCCAACAGAGTACAATTGATATTTGACAGCTCATAATTTATCTTACAGATATTGACAACAGTGGGTATGTCAGTGACTATGAACTTCAGGACCTGTTTAAGGAAGCAAGCCTTCCTCTGCCTGGCTACAAAGTCCGAGAGATCGTGGAGAAAATTTTAGCAGTTGCTGACAACAACAAAGATGGCAAAATAAGTTTTGAAGAATTTGTGTCCGTAAGTAATCTAATCCTGTCTTGGCTACTGAATATAGTGCTTTGAGAAAAATTTTAATAATGTCATTGTCTCTTTGCTTAAATATAGCTGCAGAGACCATAAATGGTGCTGCTTTAAAATTGATGATAATTACAATAATGTCCACACATAATTAATAAAATGATAATTAATAAAATAAATAATTAATAAAACAAGAGAAAAAGTCATTCTCAAATGGAAGTCCGACTTAGAGAACAATAACAGTTTATGCCCTAGTAAAACTATAGTTGCGTTCATTGCTCAATGACTGTCTCTGTGTGTAGAATATTTACTGTTATTATTTGGCCTTGAGAAATGGAATATTTTTTAAACTGAAATAGCTAAGGCATGGAAGCTATACTTTCTAGAAACTGGTTGTTTCCTTGTGGTCAGTTATACCTCAGTTTCAGTAGGGCCAGGTAAATGTTGATGCTAGCTCTGCGAGCATTATTTCATTGTTAAACTACCTCAAGGCTCAAAGAACTAAACAACATGAAATATAACATATGACTCAACCAATAAAAGAAAAATAGATTGTAGAACTGAATATTGAAGATTATGTACTTCAAACCTCTCAGGCCAAGAGAGATGACTGGGTTGTTGCCATTGCCAACTGGCAGTTGAGCAAGGGCTGTTGCTTCTTCCCATCAACACCACCATGACTACATTTTTCATATGAAAAATGTAACTGTTAATACAATTAAATAAATACCTATGAAATGTAAATCATCTGTTTTTGCATTTTTTATTGGCTAAGCAAATATTTGAGCCCCTTTCTTGTCAGGAGCTCTTCTAGGCACTGCGAATAATGTGCTAAACAAAGAGATGTGGTCCCTGCTTTTGTGGAGTTTGCATGTGGTGGGGAAGACAGAATAACAAAAATGGATAGAAGAAAACTGTGACAATTGCTATGACAGCAGTATAGGTCTCCTTGAGAGTTTATAGTAGAAGGGATTGAATTTGGTGGGGAGGCTGGAGAACCAAGGGACTCAGGGAAGGTGTCTCAGAAGCTATAAAGACTAAGCCGAGATCTGAAGAAAAATGCTACACAGATAAAAGGGGTGGAGGGGGGATGAATAATGTGTGAGGTGGGCAGAGGTGACAGCCTGTGCGGAGGCTGTCAGTTTAGGAATGGTAGATGCTCTCACCTCGGGAAAAGAAGCTGAGTGGCTGGAGCTGAGGTGGTTAAGGGAAAAGGAATTCCCTAGAGAAGTAAGTCAGGGTCAGGTTCTACAGGGTCCTGCAGGGTGTTTGTTTTTAGCCTAAGTGCAATATTAAGCCAGTGATATGGGAAAAATAGAGTGTGAGGTGACATGATCAGATCTGCATTTTTAAAAACTCGTTCTGGTGCTACTGGAAGAACTGGTTGAATTCAGTCTAACTGACCTCTAGAAAATCCAGTGAGAGGGTGGTTGGGAGTGTGTTTCTCTAAGCTTATGTATTTCCTTCAAGAGCTAACTTACACTGACATATATACATTGAAGATGTCCAGACAAGACAACACCTTCATTAAGGCATTTTAAACTCTATCATGTAGCCCAGCCGGTGTGGCTCAGTTGATTTGGTGTCTTCCTAGGCACCAAAAGGTTGACGTTTCCATTCCTAGGCAGGGCACAGGCCTGGGTTTCATGTTTGTCCCCCAGTTGGACTGCATCCAGAAAACTCTGATGTTTTTCTCTCCATCCTTCTCCCTCTCTCTCTCTCTTTCTTTTCTTCCCTCTCTCTCCCTCCCTCCCTCTCTCTAAGCATGTCCTGGGGTGAGGATTAAAAAAAAAAAGGAAACATAACTCTAGCATGTAGTTATTCTTTAGTTTCAGTACAACAGATCATGGCAAATCTGGAAGAATAATTTCAATGTGTTCAATTTAAACTTAATTATAACAACATTTTTTTCTAGTGGTTGGGATGCAAACATTTGTCCATTCTTTGTTATTGGTAAAATGACCTGTGAGTTATCTGTTAGTATTTATTTTGTTGTCATTCCAAATAAATAAAGAAGTCTAAATAATTTTCCTTCATGTTACAAGGTTTTCTATGATTATCTGATGAAGACTCATTTTACTTTTATCCCATTCCAGCTAATGCAAGAGTTAAAAAGCAAAGACATCAGCAAAACATTCCGAAAAATAATTAACAAGAGGGAAGGGATTACTGCTATTGGAGGAACTTCGTCCATTTCCAGTGAGGGCACACAGCATTCCTATTCAGGTAATTTCTCACTCCACATTTGACCTTTTAGTCATTGATTCATTCAACAAGTTTCATATTCATCGAATCTAAGATGCCATCTACACTAATAAAAGAGAAACATGGTAATTGGCGTACGACCGCTACCCTTCCCATTGGCTAATCAGCATATCCTTATGCAAATTAACTGTCAGCCAAGATGGCGGCCGGCAGCCATGCACTGAAGCGAGCAGGGAGGCTTGCTTGATCCAGTGACGGCGAACTCCAACGTTCCCCGCCTAACTTGCCGGCCTCTTAGCTGCAACTCTAAGCAACTATGTACTATGTTGCAAATAAGAAGCTAAACAAACCCCCAGAAACCGGCTGTCAGTCAGCCAGGTTCAGCCAGCCGGCCGCAACATTGTATCGATGTTTTCAGCAGCCGAGGCCTCAGAGCTAAAGCTGGCCCAGAATAAAAAAAGAAAAAAGAAAAAAAGGAGCGGTTGGGAGCTTTAGTCCCCCACTTTCGAAAAACAGCCCTCAGCCCCTCACCCAGACTGGCCAGGCACCCCAGTGGGGACCCCCACCCTGATCCAGGACCCCCTTCAGGGCAAACCAGCCAGCCCCCACCCATGCACCAGGCCTCTATTCTATATAGTAAAAGGGTAATATGCCTCCCGGCACCAGGATCAGCGGAGCAGCAAGGCTCCCGGCACCGGGATCAGCGTGACAGGGGGCAGTGCCCCAACCCCCTGATCAGCCCTGCTCTGTGCGTGACTGAGGGTGGCGCCGCAACCTCCCCATCGACCCTGCCTTGAGTGTGACAGGGGGCGGTGCCCCAGCTCCCCTATCGGCCCTACTCTGTGAGTGACAGGGGGGCGCTCCTCAACCCCCTGATCGGCCCTGCTCTGTGGGTGATAGAGAGTGGCGCCCCAACCCCCGTCCACGGGCCTTGCTCTGTGTGTGACAGGGTACGGAGCCCCAACCCCCCTGATGGGCCCTGCTCTGTGCGTGACAGGGGGCAGTGCCCCAACCCCCTGATCAGCCCTGCTCTGTGCGTGACTGAGGGTGGCGCCGCAACCTCCCCATCGACCCTGCCTTGAGTGTGACAGGGGGCGGTGCCCCAGCTCCCCTATCGGCCCTACTCTGTGAGTGACAGGGGGGCGCTCCTCAACCCCCTGATCGGCCCTGCTCTGTGGGTGATAGAGAGTGGCGCCCCAACCCCCGTCCACGGGCCTTGCTCTGTGTGTGACAGGGTACGGAGCCCCAACCCCCCTGATGGGCCCTGCTCTGTGCGTGACAGGGGGCAGTGCCCCAACCCCCTGATCAGCCCTGCTCTGTGCGTGACTGAGGGTGGCGCCGCAACCTCCCCATCGACCCTGCCTTGAGTGTGACAGGGGGCGGTGCCCCAACCCCCCAATCGGCCCTACCCTGAGCGTGACTGAGGGTGGCATCGCAACCTCCCGATCTGCCCTGCTCTGTGCATGATGGGGCGGCGCCCCAACTCCCCAATCAGCCCTGCTCTGAGCCTGACCAGGGGCTGCACCTAGGGATTGGGCCTGCCCTCTGCCACCCGGGAGCAGGCCTAAGCCAGCAGGGCGTTATCTCCCGAGGGGTCCCATACTGGGAGAGGGCACAGGCTGGGCTGGGGAACTCCCCCCCTCCCCGAGTGCACAAATTTTTGTGCACCTGGCCTCTAGTTTATTATAATTCACACCATTGTTTTATGTACCTTTGAGGGAAAATCAGAATAAATTTGAAATGCCTCTTAATTTCAGAGATGTCAAAATGAAAAATCCTAAACTCATAGAAATCAATAAGTTCTTACTATGTGTCAGGTGTTTTAGAAACAATAAAAGTATCATTTATTTTCAGCATTGCGTGTGTTTAATCATAATCTTTGAATGACTTCTTCATCCTGACTGGTGGCGTGAGTTTTCCTTTAGACCTGATCTAGGAACATGTGAAGAGGTTTGTTGGAAGGACTTTCTCTTTCCATTTTCCGGGAGCTGAGATTCCTTTCTGATCTTTTATCAAGCAGCCAGTGACTAGAGAGCCCCGTACCTGACTGATCTGATAGAATCACTGGGCTGTTGCCCAGTGAGAAATCGAGAGTGGCAGTAACTCCTAAGATGAGAGGCCTTGCCCCATGTTAAGCTTACCTCTCAGGGTCAAGATATTTAAGAACCTTTGGCAAAGTTCTATTTGTTCATATTAACATAACATAATTAGTACATGCTTTTAAAATTTTTTTACAAAAATTCACTGTAACTTTTTTCCCTTTCTTTGTGAGTTAAATCTCTTAGTATCCTCTTGGTTCTTTTCCTTTCTAACTGGATTTTCCTCTGATAATATACTTGCACTTCTCCCACCAGTTGTATTTTTTTCCTAATCTTTTCCCAGTGGGGTAGTGTAGTGGTGAAGGCAGTGGTCTATAATTGTTATCTCCATTTTTTTAGAGGTATATACTTTTTTACTCTATTTCTGTCTGTCCATTCTAAGGAAAAGACTTCTTTCTTTTTAAAAAACACCTTTTAATTGAGGTAATATGTACATTTAGAAAAGTGCTGAAATCTTTAAATGAATATTTACATGTAGTGTATATATGTATATGTATATGTATGTGTGTGTATATATATAT